CCCCAATCCACGTGAACTCCCACCGCATAGGGGGTGCCCTCTTCAGTGCGGCAGCAACGCTAAGCTTGGCCACAACTGTTCTCTTTCCATGGCCTCCTGAGCCCCTCATGGTGCTGATGATGCACTCTTCGCAGTCAACTACATCACTTGCATCACAACACCCCTAAAACCACTCATTTTTCACTACCTGCGGGCCACCTCCTTTTTTCGCTCTCCTGCACCAGGCTCTGGGTTCGCCTCTCCGAGATTGGGCACCTCGCAACCACCCCCCCCACACCCCCTTTAACTCACTTCGTTCGCTCCCTACCTCAAGCCTAGCCTATCGGCTGGCTTTCGTGATATACATATGTAGATTCAGACTTCGATACATAATGTGCTGTAGCTGTCCGTGAAAAGCATAGACAGCCGCCTGGGCAAGTTGTTGCCTTTGGGTCACTTCAGCCTTCCAACAAACATGGTACAGTCAGTAAATTGGTTGATGTTTATTGTGAAGCAAAAGAGTTGACGTCCGGCGCTGTTCAGCGGATCTTCACTGAGCTCCTCGCAGCTGGCCTCAAGAATTTTTGTCTGTTCAGCCCAGTGGATTGAAGCTAACTGTTGGGCCATCGGCTCGTCTGCTGTAGCAGTGCCTGCAACACAGCTAGACTCCTACCAACCGCTTCGTCCCTCGAATCAAGCTTGCGTCTTTCCATTTCAACCACTCAAATCACTTGGCCTCCGCCGTGGGCAGTAACCAACGATGCTGCGTATTTTCGTATATCCTTAATTCGTGCACCCTTCATGTTCAGAACGCACCACACGCAGTCAAAGTGATTTATATATCCCTGACTGAGGCAGTCCTCTTCTGTCAAGTCTTTTAGCTTCTTCCCACCAAACATGGCTCGCGGCTACAAACTGCGTTGCCTAGTTTCAGTCAAGTAGTGCTGCTGTTCCACAAGTATGCGTTGTGTATGCCCAAAGCTTCAAGAATGTGTTCAGGCTATCAATTGTGGAACTCTGTTTCCAGGTCGGTTAGCTTTGATAAATTCTTGGCTGTTACTTGCCAGCCAGTGGACGTAGCACGCTGGGTGTGCCAGTCGTGAAGCTGGATGTGGTCAAGCGTAAAACGTCAAAATACCCCTTGGCCGGCATTTGAACGACGGCCACCTAGCAGCCTAGCAATGACGCTTGAAAGTGAATTGCAGACCTGCAAATGCTGCAGCACTGGTCATTAGTTGGAAGTTGCCAGGCACATGGTTGGACACTCAACAGAGGATTTCATCGCAGCATGTTACCAAGCTCCAAGTCCTAAGGGAACCTCTTCTTCACTGCGTAGTCTCTTTGTAGAACTCATCAAGTTGTTGCCTGGAAGTCCCTCTGGCACCTCCATGACAGTCTTACCTTCCTCATCCGCTACCTAAATAGTGCGCTTGGGAGATTCACCTCTCCGCTGGCTTCCTTCTCTGCTTCGCATTTGGCCTCTGCGACCTCTGTGCCGCGTTTGAGCTTCTCTTCGGTCTTTTTGTCACGCATTGATACTTGGACAGCTTGCCCTGGAACTAGTGAAGGAGCTTCGTAACGTGTTCACAAACGCTGCCATCGAAGTATCTGTGATGACAAATAGCTCTTTTAGAGGCGAGAGTGTGATTGTAAACTCTCTGTAGTGCTGCGTGGCAATATTCTCGGAGACATGCATCCGAAAGGTGCCATAATCCCAGCTAGTCGGCCAACTAACCCCCACAGCCCGCAGCCCAAAGACATTGCGCACTTTGATATCAACCTTTGGATAGGGCTGTGCATTTTAGAAGCCGTGCTTCATTGAGGCGATGTCCATTCTGTCTGACTCAGATCAAGCAAAGCGCAGTAGCGGAAAGAAAGATGTCTCACCTTCGTGCTGCACAATCGCATCCCATATCATTTTCAAGTACAGTAATCCTTCGGCACTGTGCTGGCCAAGAAGGTCTCCGGCTTGCTCACGCCGAAGAACTCATCGACACCTACAGCGGGCACCACTTCACATTGGACATGGCACTCTGCTATCATTCGATGGTGCCGGCGTGCCTCTGCGGGAACAGCTTGAAAATGCAATCAGGTTGCCACGCCGCTCTAGATGTAAGGCCCCAACAAATCTACATAGATGATCGGATCCGTTTCTTCCAAGGTGTAGTAAACATAGAAATGTTCCCAATCGCATGCATCAGGTAAAACTGGCAGCAACTTGAATGAAGCATTGAGGCGACATCATCGCTTTCCCGAAACACCTCCCTCACACGTGCAGCGGCAGCGACATCTTCTGCGCGGACACTTCCCAGTGTCTTGCCATCAGCATAAAACAAAAGACTTCAAAGTCGTTGAAGTGGGACTCTTCTGCAGACCGATCGCACAGAAGATTAAGTCAAGTGTTGTCTGCGTAGCGTGCTCATACCCTTTGAAGCGGACCTTGGTTTTGTGAGCAATTACATTTCATTGGATCCAAAACAACACAAAATCAATCCACCATTCTCACCCACACACGGGATTTTCTCAGGCTATGGCTCAATCGAAAGCCCAGCCACTTTGCATTTCACCGGTGACTTTGGATGGTCCCGGTACCGGTACAGTGACCCTCTTGAAGCCTTCCGCCATCCTCCCCGTCCCTTGGCCGAGTCTCCGGCGCATCAGAGCCGCTCAACAAACTCAGAGGATCGGAGTGCATCTTCCTCAATCGATGGAGAACTCATTGACAAATCCAAGGAAAACTCTGATTGAAATGTGGACGCACAATACCTGTACTAGTAGCAAATAGCTACTAGTAGCGTCCTTGCTACTAGTAGCGATGCCCTTGTTCCTAGTAGCGATGCACTTGTTACTAGTAGTTTCTTGTTACTAGTAGTAGTGCCAGGAGCTACTAGTAGCGTCCTTGTTACTATGCCCTTGTTACTAGTAGCTTCTTGCTACTAATCCAAGGAATTGGAAGCTCCACTCAGTTTGTGAGCATAGACAAATTAAAACATACGTAGATCCCAGCTGCTGGGAAATAGAATGAGGAGCCATCTCCTTCTCGCACCCTGTCCACGACGCTTTCCATGTTTGGTGCCCGCAGATTGTATCGTGAGATACCTTGTGAATCAACATCTGCCTCTTCTTCCAACTTTCCAGAGCCAGCTCCCTCACGCCAAACCTGACATTTCTCGTTTCCAATCAAGCATGCATCAAAGGCCAATGCAAAGTCTATCTGAGAGCAGTGCGCATCTTCAACAAACTGCTGCTCTGCCCACAAAGTCTCGTCAGCCTGCACGGGCTCTGATTTTCCCTATTTGGCTGTAGCTGGGCAGCTAGCAGCTAGCAGTATCTTGTCAGGCTGTGCTTCTCTAGCCTTGTTCAACGCACTGGCCACATCAATGCTTTCATAGACCTCACATGGAGTAGCTGTCGGTGCTGGAAAAGGCACGAATCTCCAATGGAATCTCCTTGCAAATGGAACAGTGCCTCCAGCATGTCATCCAAGAACTCGAAAACAAACGACATGGGATAGTCGTCGGAGGCCACCACACCATACCTCGTCTGTGTCACATTCTTTCAGTTCCACCTCACAGGTCCTACCAACTATCGAAAACGTCTCAGATTCTTGCAAATTTCCTTGGTTATCTGCAGTGAAGTACAGAATACCACCGCCAAACGAGAGCTTGTGCCTGACACAAACCGGTCGTTGCATGGAAGAATTCGGAGAAGCTTCAAAAGCATCCAAAAGCCTAGACTGCGGCTTCACAGAAACTCCAGCGACGCGGAGGACGTCTTGGAAAGCCTCCCAGCAATCCACAGAACACTGACTTGACTTGAACGGCCCGCGCCTCTTGATAGAGTGTTTCGTTCGGGTCCCCTTTAAATAGCCTTGGCTGGTCACTCAAAATAGTGCAGTGGATTTCCATACAGAACAGAAAGAATGCTGATGATTGTTGAAGCCACGCTACGGAAACAAGATGGAGGCAAATCTTTTCCGGTCCCTTCCAAGAGAAACACAGCAGCAATCAAGAATCCCAAGTATATACCCCTGCTGTCTGAGAGGGGGAAAGGGGGCCTTATTGAAATAGGCCCAATACATGCGTTTAAAGGCTGTAGGCCATCGCTATTAGGTTGGAGGCCATCGCTAGTAGCCTTATTGAAAAAAGCGTTTACAGACTTACGCTGCTCTCTTCAGCGCCTGGGCCGGCCTGCAGTAAAGAAGCGCATCCCACGTCTCCGCTTTGCAACTTCCCAAATGTCCTGATGAACAAGTGGTCTTGCTCATAGTCAATATGTTTTTTGTCTGCTTTCAATCATTTAGTTTATTGCTTTCTCTCTTTCATAATTCACTTTATCTCCCGACCACCGCTTGATGTTGCTCACCTATTTTCTCTGCATCCTCGCCAAAATGCTCCTCTTCCAACTCATCACACTTGTCCAGCCGCCCTTCTCCAAAAGTCTGAGCAAAGACTGAGCAAGGCTGAATTTTCCCTTAAAATCTAGGAACCAAATGAATAGTGAGCGTGAGCTATCCTGCGTCCATATGTAGTATCTACTTAAACTACTAGCTACTGTTTGATTCTGCTGGCTACCTCTAGCGACTACGTCTTGGCAGCCTACTAAAAAATGTCCCTTTTCTTCTCGCACATTGTGCCTCAAAAATCCAATCCCCAAGCTCATCGTATGCAGCTCTGACCTACAAGGTTTGGCACTACTGCAAACCTTGTCAATCAGAAAACGACCAACACAGCGACTTTGAATCCGACATCGAAAGCCTGGCTTTTCGCTTGAAGATAGAGTTTCTGCGACATTGCGAAAGGAAATCACTTGAACCACCTGATGAGATGTCACACATGTCATATTCAAAGCGGTAGCAAGCCAAGATCGGCGTACAGATGGGCTTACCCTTGCCTACAAGAAGCCAACAGTCATGCGTGCAGCAGTCGGTTCAGTAATGTGTTGAGACTTCGTCTTTCAGCATCTTTCACAGCGTCATAGACTTTGTCCTTTTACGGTACTGTGCGCTTTGGGCCCTTTTGGCTTTGTGCTTCTCTCAGGCGTTCAGATCGCCTATAAAATATCAAGTGTCTAATCTCCAAATGCAAACACTTTTTCTTAGGAACCCGAATCTCCGGAGTGCTGAGGCAAGGAACAACGAGAAGAATATAGTAAAGCAACACTTTAAAGTGTTTGTTAAACAAAGCACAGCTGCACCTGGTACTGCATGGGCTTCTTTGAACGCATCTTGAAGAGGATTCGATATCTGCATGGATAAGCTGTGCCCGGTTTAAAAAGAAAAAAACACAAAATAAACCGGAGAACATGTTCAGCATCCTGGCGCACCCACATTCACGACATCTGATAATGTCATTCGACTTGATCTCCACCAGGCAGCCGCAGTTTCCGCAAATGTACCTTGGATCATGTCAGTTGCATGAAGAATGAAAACATTTATGTAAAGAAACTTAAATCTAAATGTGTTTAATTTAAGAAGCACTCCTGAGCATCAAGTGTCTGTTTGCAATTTAGGGTGTATATATAAGCTTCGGGCGTAACAGCTGCAACGGTTGGTTTCACCTCCTCTTTCTTGGCGATTGCCTCCTTCAGAAAAACAAACAGAAAGGGGGCAAAGTCAAGCGTTCAAACAAACAAATCCCTAGCCTATACTATATAAGGTCAGCAATCCCGCTTCATCAAAGGGTCCATGCACTTCACCAAAAAAGTAACTTGTTGCTCATCTGAATGGTGGGATTGGATTGCTTGGTGGAAGTGGATGGGTAGGGCTGGAAGTGCATCGGTAGACAAGGAAGGGAGGACGGATACATCACAAGGTGTCGCATTGCCCGGTGCATCTGCCAATTGGCTGATTACGAACGCGTAGTACACAACAGTCCAAGCCCTAGCAGCCCTAGCAACTAAAAGACCATTCTGAAACCATTCTGAAACGGAGATGTTTGGTTTCTTACCAAGTACGCCATAGAGCTTGCATCCAAAATCTACTCCTTTGTTGCTTCGGCCGACATCAGTGATGCCCGCTCATCTCAACTTTAACTAACTACGATGGCAAAATGCAGCAGGCAAAACGAGCACTAAACGTGCAGTTCAATGCTATCTCAATGCTTTGTGTTGCCAACACTCAGAGGCTCCCTTTTCGCAGCACCTGCTTCCAGTCGGGCATTTGCCCATCACACTCAGCAAGCGCGAGGCATTAACGAAACTGGTGAGAAGCACCAGGGAAGGTCACTCTAAGGATTTCGCCTCAATCAGTTGCGGTTCAAGTCAGCAGAAACTGTATTGTAAAGTAGACTGCTACGAAAGCCTCCTCATCAATTGTAAAGGCATTTGGGAGCAATTCAGGCCTGAGCACATTGAGATGCAAAAACATCTTCTAGGTTTGGACCTGCTTGTAGTTGTGCTTGTTCTGTTTGCCCACCTGAACCAGAACTGTTTTCTTTTCTCTGTCTAAGGAGTCAACTTCTTTTCAACAGGCACAACCACCTGTGGAATGCCCCAGTGCCTTGCAAAGACGTCGTCTCCACTGGAGTCTCCAAGTGTCCCCTTGCAAATCAGCAAAGGCTGGGACGGATGGATGGCACCAGGATAACAGTAGAGCCTTCACGGAATGTGTTCACTCAAAATACATAGAAATACAAAAGATATCAAAAGATCGCAAAATTGACCCACGGATTAGACAGGTATCTACCCTGTCTACCCCACCTGCGCATCCAGTTGTTTCGCAACAGATTCTTTGACAGCATGCCTTTGACTGCCTGCAAGCTGGGCTAGCTCAGCTCTGTTTCACTGGCAACTCTGTCCCACCTGTGATATGACGATAGACGGATTCAGCATCATCATTCTAGTCGCAGACACCACCTGCGCACATGTAGTTCAGAGGCCACAGAGGCACAAAATCAGAATCAAGCCTTGGCTCCACGAGGATCCGTGAATCCTCAGAAAAGTGGTTGACAAATGTATTTGTCTGCGGTCAATGATAGTCTTCAATGGGGCAACTTCTGCAGCAGCTGCAGCAGCTTTGGAGCCAATCGCAAAAGCTGGTATACTATACAATACAACTTCGCATTCAGAATGTCATTTGGGGAGTTTGACCCGACCATGTGACAGGCTTTCAACATCATCAAAGTTCCTGCATTCAATGGCCACAAATGTTTGACGTAGCAGCATATTCAATGAAACCTCAGCTTGTCAGTATTTCCTCAGTCCATACAACAAGCGCTATTTAGTCAAGCGTCTATTTCGCATGAACCTGTAGATCTTGGTATCCTGACAGCTGACAAGGCTGAAAGGTTGAGACCACAAAGACTGCTGGACCAAGCGCACCCAAGTGTGACCGGGGAAATGCAAGTGGATAGCATTCACAATGATCACCGAGTCACCTGCGACGTTGGCTGTTACAGTTTGTAAGCTCTCCTTGACTCCTGTGTGCTTTCTACCAGTATCAACAACAACAACACCTCCAAACCCCCTTCTCGTCATGCCTTTGATGCGGTCAGGCGCAAAGTCGACACCTGGGCTGGAGTCAGTTTTTGTATGTAATGACACACAAAAAACATGATCTGTGGAGTCCTTTTTTGCAGATGAATAATCTCTCAACAAGCCCATTTTACCGATGCACCTTGATCTCGCTAGAGGGGCACAGTTCCGCAGGGATTGTGCATCATGGATCTTGCCTTTACGGCTTCCCAGGTGAAGCAAAGCTATGTCTTCTTCAATCGTGAGCTTCCCTTTCCCGAATCAATCTTGAAATGTTCCCTTGTCATATTCATTATAACAGGAAGTGCTGAAGCCACAAAGGCTCTCTACCCGAATTATTCGATGCGTCCTGCACCTGCGCAATTGAATTGATCCTGCGGCCACGAAAGCAACTTCATGTCCAGCTGCCATCGAAGCCCAGTTGGCCGCCGTTGGCCGCCTGTAGGCTGAGACGCCTGAAGTGTCCTCTGATTTGGAACTGAAACACGGAAGTCTGCCATGTTCCTTCAGGATTGCCAAAGCTCCTTCCCTGAAACCATTCACATCTGTGAAAAAGCCATCAATGTGTGCTGACATGGTGGCAGGGTCTACTTCTCTTTCGAAGTAGTAGAACCAACAAGCGCTGCTAGTCCCACGCCAATCCCCAGGCCACCGCACATAACAAGTGCCATCTTGCCCAGCTGAGGAAAGAGTCCAATCCGAGCTCCAAGAACCCCAAGAATGGGAATCACAAAGTTGTCATCCAGCCCAATGATTTCGGCTAGGACCTCTCCAAACGTCACGAAACCAGAGGCTATGAGTGAGACTTCGGTGGAGAGCCCAGCATATATCGCCAGGGCCGTGCACACCAAGAAGCAACCAATGCTGCCTTCTACCTTTCTCGATGAGGTTCCAACTGGAATGTAGCCACCAGCTGTGCCGATAGAAGCCGCTGCATCACCCACGGACAGGAAGAGGATCCCCAGGATCGCAAAATTGCTGGGTGCTGCCATCATGGCAGCCAAAGCTCCTGGCAAAAAGTAGGCAATGCCAGCTGCCTTGCTGTGCTCTTTCTGTCGAATGAGACCTTTGAAGGTTTTCAAGTACCAGCTCTGCACTGCAGGGATAGTCAAGCGCGAGGCCTCAACAATCCAACACACGAAGGATACGGCCAAAAAGGCAGCGCCCCCGTCCATTGTAGTGCTGTCTGCTTCTGGTGAGAAAGCTGGTCTAATATATTTGTGCTTGATGCCCCAATGATAGCAGCTGCATATTATGCAACCACCAATCATGTGGAAGGCTTTCCTTTGAAATTCAACAAACATCTTCTCAATCCGGCCGCCTGCTCTCTTAGCAGCTTTTCCTAAAACCAAGTGCACTGCAAGAAGGCTTCCTCCACATATGAAGCCTCCATAGATCAGCTCCTCTACCCTTTGGGTGTTTAGCATTGAGTTGGAAAGCATCCTTCTCACAGGCGGCACCGAAGCCTTGCAGACGCCTTGTGCTTACACTTGTGTTCCAATTTTGCCAAGATCAGAGCCAAACCTTCCATATGCCGGAGAAACTTTGTCGCTAAACTTGCTCCTTAGAATCCTCTACACGACTCAGAAAAGCCTGGAGCCTGACGGTGCTTTCCCTTCAGAAGACCAGCCACAAAAGCCGCCAGCTTGCCAACCTCTCGGCCTGGTCAAGTCTTCCATTTCGCGACCTCTTGTCTGTGTCTTTCGTTCAAAAAAGGTGGGAAGCTGCCTTTGGCATCAAGGATATGCCACCAGCCCTTTTCATCACAGTGGCTGATAGCTCGAAGTGTCCTGACTTAGTTCAAGCAGGAGATGCGGCCCAACCTGCTACTTTAGCAAAAAGGATTTGTCTTCTGAAAAACCTCTTTGGGGGGAGATTGACATGTCCAGTATTTCTGAGAAAATAACTCGAAGTGCAGTCCTATGAGGTCTGACGTCTTGGGCAACCTTGCCAAAGGCAAGCTGACATCTGACATATCATCTGAGCAAAGCCTTGATTGATCAATGCTTACACAGCTGTTCTTTGGCACCTTCGGCATATTGTAGTCCGGGTATGGCTGAGAGATCCATTGGTACTCGGCGAATGGATTGATGACCTTGGACTAGAGTTGAGGCAAGGAAACTCCATATAGATGTTGGAGTACAACTCCGCAATTGCAAAGGTTGACGAAATATAATCTATCAAATAGTCCAAATACGTTCCAAATGTTGCCCAAATCCAAACATGCTGGAGAAATGGCATCTGTTCGCCCAAAAAGCGCTGGCCTTCGCATCTCTGAAGCTTTGCCAGGTCTTGGAAGCATCTCTCCTAGAAAGGGTATGCGATGCTTGGACGTTTTTCGTTTTGGTGCTTCCCAAACACTCCACCATACGCAAAACAGCTTCTTGACCAGGATTCTCATCTATCATCTATCTTTGACGGCTCACTCCTTCTCATCTTTCTCATCCATCGTGACGATGATCGATGCATTGCTGTGCGTATCTGTGTATGTATACTTGTTCTTCCGCCTTCGCCGACTACAAACAGTTCACCAAATCTCTGATTCCTGTCAGCCCCAACCTGTCTCCAAGTCAAATTCTCTTGCACAGCCTCTACACCAATGTGCATGTCAATGGTCTCAGTGACCTTTTCGATTCACTTCATGCAAGTTTGGAAGAGCTTGCGAGCTTCAGCGGCATGCATCTTACCGTGCTGTCTTCTTTCATGTCGAAGCTATGCCGAAAGACCTAACCACTCACAACGAGAAAACAAGCCGCAGAGTTCCAGAGAACAAACCGTCGTACCTTTTTGCTGAGGCTCCCAGAGGGTTCCATGAATGACCAGGGTTGGGCAGTTGACTTTTAAAACCTTATTAGGTTGGAGGCCATCGCTATCAGGTTGGAGGCCATCGCTATTAGGTTGGAGGCCATTGCTCTTTGGGCGGAGGCCATCGCTAGTAGGTTGGAGGCCATCGCTATTATATAGGTTGGGTTAAGTTGGGCAGCTCTTCTCCCCAAACCCAGACTCGACGTCTCGCATCAGCAACGAAACAAAGCTGGATTCAGCGTTGGTCCAGAGCGGAGAACATGGTTCTCCATTGAACGACAAAGACCAACTTGATCCGTTCAGCTCAAAGAAAAAGGCTGTAAGAGCAATGGCACAGCCTGAAAGTTGCAACTTCTTGTTGCAATTCAAAGCATTTTGAGGATGGACCATTCGAAGCGGCATACCTCCGCAGGGCACCTTGTTAGGTTAAGCTCAACAGTTGGTTGCATCAACCATGTAGCCTTCTCAACCTATCTCAAGGTTCAAGGTCAATTTGGATAGTCAGGATAGGGTCTCCGCAGCATTAGGCTGCTGGAGGTCAGTTTGATTCCAGTTGTTCCTTTGCCCGTGGTTTTGTTACCATTGTTTGACTTTGCCTGTTGAGGAGTTGTGTGTTCAGGTCAGGAAGGCAGGCCCGGCATCAGCCGGGGTATCTGCCAAAGCATTGAACATAGTTACACCCCAGTCACGGTTGAAGCAAGGGATGTGTAACCAAGCGTGACACTTCTGCTTCAAGTTCTCATCTTCAACCGCGTGTCAAGGTGTATAAGCGAAGAATTAAAGTTCCATGCAGTCAGCCATGGCTCTCCTACAAGTCTGCGTGACTTTTGCACGGCACAGACAACCCAAATGCAGGGCAATACGCAAAAATAGTATTTCCATGTCTTTCCATCTTTCCTATCATCCAAGAAACATGAATCTTGTTCCGGTGGCCTATTCAGTTTGAGGTGTGAGTGAGGGGCTGCAGGTTCGTATTCTGTCTGAACCGCTGCATTCAGAAAAAGGGTTATTCCCTCCTCATATCGCAGCCAGCCGCAGACAAAGCATCACGAACTCTCAGCAGATGCAACCACCGGTGGGGGCTGCTGGTCATCAGGTTGATCCAATCGGCCTTGAAAAAGAATAGGAGGTGGTCCGACGGTGGTCCCAAAGTCCCAAGTGCAAGGGACAAATAGGAAGTTGCACGCGTGCCTCCTGCAGTTTCCCCTTCACCAACTGGTCTTCTGCCCTTTCCCTGCAAGCCGAGTTCTAGTGCAATATCGAGCACTCAAGGATAACAAGAAGCTACTAGTAGCAAAGGGCATCGCTACTAGGAACAAGAACGCTACTAGGGCCTAGGGGCTCCTGGCCTTACTACTAGGAGCAAGAAGCTAGTAGAAACAATATAGAATTAAACGTAAAAGTAATGGTGTTGTGCCAGCCATAACCACGATACCGCGAGAAGCTCTAAGTGATGCCAGAAAGAAGGAACGTACAGCGTCGGTTCAGGCCCACCTTGCTATCAGTCTTCCCCTTCTCGCCTTTCTCACCTTTCAGTTTTGAGTGTGTATCACTGGGGTTTGTTGTCACAAATGCATACTTCACAACCAAAGGAGTTGTTAGCCTCCACATTGGATACGATGATGTGTCTGTGTACTGCACCAAACAGCCACAATTCCATGTGAACACACATTCGTTTTGCAGTCTGCCAGACCTCCAAACTGGCTGCCTTTGCCAACCTTTCCTTCTTTGCCACGCGGTTCCCCCCTGAGTCAAGCTGTTTCGATCCTTCCAAAGCTTGGTCGCATAGCCTTTACCTGTGTATATCTTTGATCCGTTCAGGTAGAACGAAAGGCACCAAACGCCTTTCAATAGAACTATGAATCATCTGACAGCACAAAAGCATCTTGATGAGCTACAGCAGTCAGTCCATCCTTCCTGTCTGAACCTAGAAAGCTAGCCTCTTCTAGTGGTCAGGAGCAAAAACCTTTGATTGAAAACATAGACATAGAAGCCTCACATTGCCACGGTCAGGCTTGAAGAACACAGGACCACCGGCTGCTTCTGCGCTCCTTGCGCAGAAAGCGCTTGATCGTCGATCGTGTTAATTATCGACATTGATTGTTTCTCAACGTCACTACTCTCGTTGCTCCTGGTGACCCAGCCTTTGATCCCAGCGTTTGGCTCGATTGACTCGATGAACATGCGCGCGATGCCATTTTTCACAATCTGCAAATTGGCAGACGCAGGGTTAAGTACTGATTTGCACCAGCAAAATTAAGACTATAGTCTAAGTTATTGTCTGATACTATAGTGACTATTAGTGACTATAGTCTTCCAGCCTTGTCCTCACCAACCTGTGTCACCAACGAGCCCGCCAAGAGTGTTCCAACAATATCGGTCTCCATCTGGCGTGTCAAAGGCTGACAGGCTGACATCTAATCGAGTCAAAGACATGCGTCACACTCAAGCTCTGCAGAAAGCCACATGGCAGAGGTACACCCAAACCAACACGCACGATGATGTCTCTATCATTGACAGCTCGCCAGCGCTGCTGCCTTTCAGCATGCAAACACCTCGTCACTCTCTGCTTCTTTTAAGCTGAACAGTGCCTCGAGCCCCTGCCATATCGATCCGCTTTGACCTCAAAATAGTTCATCAGTGTTCATCAAGCTATACGATTCCTTGAGGGCCAAAAGGGACCAGTGACTAAAATCCCTTTGCCTCATGTTGCTCCTCCTCTTTCCCTTCATGTCGGAATCCTTCTGGCTTGAACCCATCACCTTGCTTCGAGCGATGGAGATGGCACGAAATCTGGAAAGCTCCTTCAAAACCAGCAATGACTTTGACAGCAGTTGTTATACCGACACATCCAAGACCCGCACCCTTACCTCTGCTGTCCATGTGAAATCCTTTGCCCTCAAATTTACCCTTTCCTTCCTTGCCCTTTTCATCCTTTCCTCTGCCTGCAAACAAGTGCCACAAGCATACCCACATGATGACATAGCACGACCACCAGCGACAATTCAAGACAACTACAAAAAAACTGCAAGTGTGCAGTTGCACATGCGCACCTTTGCGTTCTCCTTTGGCTTCGTTCTTGAAATCGTATCCCTTGCCATCGCCTTTATCACCTTTGGCATGTTCACCTTTCCCCTCAAAGCCCTTCCCGCCTCACAAAGTCAAAGGTCAAGCAGGGCTTGAGTTCGACGCGCAAAAACTTGCTCAGGTCCAGACCATATGCATTTGCTCGTCTTCCAGGTCTCACCTACAGAATGTCAGCGGTCTCACGATGCGAGGAGCTTGACGGCCACGCTGCTTGGAATGTGACAAGTATGTGAGTGCATGATAGTGAATGTGTATAAGCAGCGCAACTGCCTTTAAATATTGGCCTCTATCTCTGCATCTGACATCATATGCAATCTTGTAAAATATGATGGTCATCCAGAAACATGCAATGCAGTGAAAGATTGATTGAGCTAACTACACAGGTAGTTGGCCTGGAAGCCTGCTTGTTGAGTGCTTGTGTCTGTGGTAACCCTTGGAATCATAGGTTGTCTTTCGTAGAGCTGTGCCCAACGAAGCTCTCCATGTATGCAGCTTGATCAGCTGCACGTACCTGCGTTTCCAAGAACGGTTTGTGATTGGTTGTAACCACGCGCTCCTCAGAGATTTCAGGCTGTTTAGGTATTTGTCAGGGCTGCAAATGTGCACTAGCAGCTCGCTCTCGACGTTTTTCGTTAGCACTGAGCCTTTTGGCACTGGAAACCTTTTTGAGACATTTTGAGATGGTTGGACCGCATTACATATTGTTTTACTCAGGCAGTGTTTTCACTTAGGCCTTTGAGGGGCGGCACGGCCAAATCAAACACATAATACATTGAGTGTGTGCCACGACTCTGCAAAACAGAAGCGCAAAGAAATCTTCTATGTGTTGCGTCCTTGCTTTTCTTTGTCATGTCTATCTTTATTATGTTTTAGTCAATATTCCGACATATGATGAACAACACCCAAGTGGCACATGCCAAGCATAAGAGCAGTTGTTCTTTGCTGCACCCAGTTTTATTCTCCCCTGCAAACAGCAAAGCGGAAATCTAGCTCAGGATTTCAAGGATACTATAAATAGGTTGCAAATCAATCAAACAGTAGAGGAGGCAAGCAAGGAAAACCTGCGCAAAGCTCAAACTAGGAATTGACGCCGCAAAAGGAAAACAGCAAAAAGAAGATAGGGTCGACCGCAGTTGTGGGCTACATTGGGTTCAATATGGCTCAGGCATTCTTCGATCCAAGCCTTTTACGGGCCATCAAAGACACCACAATGGCTCAAGTCCCAAAACTGAGAGCATACTGGAACTTGAAAAGCAAACATCTGTCTGTTTTTGACATGTTTTTGCCGACCTCCTACTTGATTAAGTAGGTGCCTACTTAATTAAGTAATCAAGGGAGAGTAAGTTACTGCTTAAGCTACTACATATGGACGCAGGATAGCTCACGCTCGCACTAATGACTTGGTTCCTTGATTTTTAGGGAAACTCCATGAAAGGGATGGGAGACCACAGACAAGTTCAGCAGACAAGGCTTTTTGGCCTTCAAAGGAGTTGGAAACCCCAGTATATAGACCTGCTTGGGGAAGAAAATGGAGGATTTGCAAGGAAGACCTTTGCAAGGAAGACCAACAGTCCAACAGGAGGTTTAAAATGACAAGTTCGAAACAAATGGAGTTGATGAGTTCCCAGCTGTTTGGTGCTCCTTGGCCATTGCCACTAGCCTGCTGCCTGTCAGTCATGAGAGCAGTGCTGTGTGCCGTATCGTGATGCTCGCCAAGCTCACCTTGCCATACAGGCAGAAAGCCCTCTCTGACCTGCTGCTCGTAGGTAGGACCCTCCTTGTCCAAGCGGCAGTTTCTAGCTTTGAGATGGAACTCTTCTATCCAGGCATCGTTGCTAGAAGTTCAAGAATAAGGTCCAAAAAACATTCGGCTATGGATAGCGCTATCGATGTTTTACGTCTGAAGAAGCTCCAGAGCTCTGAGGCCTGCCAAGTCTCTCCCCACCAACGACCATCCTCCTTAGACCGTTCTACCAGTCTGTTAGCAAAACAACAAAATCAACCATAGAGTCCATCTTGCACGCAAGTATATCATGAATAAAGGAATACAAGAAAATAGAGTATAAATGATAAGATGAAGACACAAATTCAACCGCTCAGCCACCAAGTTCTTCAAATACGTTTCTTGGTCACCGGCCCTTCGAGGCTCCCGAGCTTCTCGAGCTTCTCGCCCATCCCACCTCTCGGACCTCTCGGACCTCTCGGACCTCTCGTCCCTCTGTTCGGGGCGCTCGGGGTCCCGCCGTAACCTCCAAGTCGGAAGGAACAGCAGAGTGACGTTCAACATGCGTTAATTTAAAGTAATTTAAAGAACACTCTCTTGGCCTCCAACCTAAGAGCGCTGGCCTCCAACCTACTAAGAGTGATGGCCTCCAACCTAGTAGCGATGGCCTCCAATCTAGGAGCGATGGCCTCCAAACCTAGTAGCGATGGCCTCCAACCTAA